TAATAATAATAATAATAACAATAATAATAATAATAATAATAATAATAATAATAATAACAATTTAAAAATAATATAATAATAATAATAATAATAATAATAATATATAATAACAATAATAAAAAATAATAATAATAATAATAATAATAATAATAATAATAATAACAATAATAATAATAATAATAATAATAATAATAAAAAATAATAATAATAATAATAATAATAATAATAATAATAATAATAATAATAATAAAATAATAATAATAATAATAATAATAATAATAATATAATAATAATCAATAATAATAATAATAATAATAATAATAATAATAATAATTAATAACAATAATAATAATAATAATAATAATAATAATAATAACAAAATAAAATAATAATAATAAATAATAATAATAATAATACAATAATAATAAAAATAATAATAATAATAATAATAATAATAATATAAATAATAATAACTAATAATAAAAAATAATAATAATAATAAATAATAATAATAATAATAATAATAATAATAATAATAAATAATAATATAATAATAATAATAATAATAATAATAATAATAATAATAATAATATAATAATAAATAATATAATAAAATAATATAAGGTGGTCATGGGTAGTTATCAATATTAAGATCGTCTGAGTCTGGTTTATATTACCACAAATTTTCACTAAACTTTCTTCTTAAGTCTCAAACAATGTTGATTATATATTGTTAGTGATGTTATTGTTAACTTTATTTTGTTAGTTGTTATTGTTAACTTTATTTTGTTAGTTGTTATTGTTAACTTTATTTTGTTAGTTGTTATTGTTAACTTTATTTTGTTAGTTGTTATTGTTAACTTTATTTTGTTAGTTGTTATTGTTAACTTTATTTTGTTAGTTGTTATTGTTAACTTTATTTTGTTAGTTGTTATTGTTAACTTTATTTTGTTAGTTGTTATTGTTAACTTTATTTGTTAGTTGTTATTGTTAACTTTATTTGTTAGTTGTTATTGTTAACTTTATTTTGTTAGTTGTTATTGTTAACTTTATTTTGTTAGTTTGTTATTGTTAACTTTATTTTGTTAGTTGTGTATTGTTAACTTTATTTTGTTAGTTGTTATTGTTAACTTTATTTTGTTAGTTGTTATTGTTAACTTTATTTTGTTAGTTGTTATTGTTAACTTTATTTTGTTAATTGTTATTGTTAACTTTATTTTGTTAATTATGAGTTAATATATATATATTGTCCCCTCTCTCCCTCCCTCTCTACTTCCCCTCTCTCCCTCCCTCTCTACTTCTCCTCTCTTCCTCCCTCTCTACTCCCCTCTCTCCCTCCCTCTCTACTCTTCCCCTCTCTCCCTCCCTATCTACTTCCCCTCTCTCCCTCCCTCTCTACTTCCCCTCTCTCCCTCCCTCTCTACTTCCCCTCTCTCCCTCCTTCTCTACTTCCCCTCTCTCCCTCCTTCTCTACTTCCCCTCTCTCCCTCCTTCTCTACTTCCCCTCTCTCCCTCCCTCTCTACTTCCCCTCTCTCCCCTCCCTCTCTACTTCCCCTCTCTCCCTCCCTCTCTACTTCCCCTCTCTCCCTCCCTCTCTACTTCCCCTCTCTCCCTCCCTATCTACTTCCCCTCTCTCCCTCCCCCTCTCTACTTCCCCTCTCTCCCTCCCTCTCTACTTCCCCTCTCTCCCTCCCTCTCTACTTCCCCTCTCTCCCTCCCTCTCTACTTCCCCTCTCTCCCTCCCTCTCTACTTCCCCTCTCTCCTCCCTCTCTACTTCCCCCTCACCCTCCCTCTAACTTCCCCTCTCTCCCTCCCTATCTACTTCCCCTCTCTCCCTCCCTCTCTACTTCCCCTCTCTCCCTCCCTCTCTACTTCCCCTCTCTCCGTCCCTCTCTACTCCCCCTCTCTCCCTCGTCTATTCCCTCTCCCTCCCCTCTGTCTCCCCCTCCCCTCTGTCTCTCCCTCCCCTCTCACTCCTTTAAGATCATGGCATCATGGGTATAATAAGATAATTTGACATGGTAAAAGTACTCTCGTGCCCCGTCTACCCACACACACATACCCTCTTGACAGTATCTACCACACGCTACCCTCCTTGACACTGTCTACCCACACACACACGCACTACCTTCCATGACACTGTCTACCCACACACACACACACACACTACCTTCCATGACACTGTCTACCCAACACACACACACACACAACTACCCTCCTTGACACTGTCTACCTACACACACACGCACTACCTTCCAGACACTCTCTACCCACACACACACACACACACTACCCTCCTTGACACTGTCTACCCACACACACACACACACAACCACCCGCCTTGACACTGTCTACCCACACACACACACACACACCACACACACACACACACACACACCACCCGCCTGACACTGTCTACCCACACACACACACACTACCCGCCTTGACACTGTCTACCCACACACACACACTACCCTCCTTGACACTGTCTACCCACACACACACACACTACCCGCCTTGACACTGTCTACCCAGAAACTACCCTCCTTGACACTGTCTACCCACAAACTACCCTCCTTGACACTGTCTACCCACAAACTACCCTCCTTGACAGTGTCTACCCTCACACACTACCCTCCTTGACACTGTCTACCCACACAATACCTCTCACAGCACCCTGACCTTTTTATCCAGTCTGGATAAGGGGGTCACCGTGTTATTAAGAGAGAAGCGTCTCCAACAACTGGTAAGATATATACACTATGGGATGTAAGTCCCTCAGTGTATATACTACATTGTGAGATGTATATCCCTTAGTGTATATACACTGGTAGTTTACACTCACCACTATTTTAGGTATTAAAGTGTTCTTGACTGGTAGTGAACGAGAGTTATGCAGCCTTAATGACCCTCGTGTAGTAGATAGACTTTAAACTCCATTAACCGACCAACCAACCACAGGTCACTGTTAAACTGTTAAACTGCTGGACAAGTTTATCCTCGTAAGACCAGTGATAAACGTTCATATTTGAATGATTCTTCTCGGGTGTCTGTGTGTTCATCGTTAACTAAATAGCTGCGTTAATTGACGCTGTTTACAACGTCGGGAACCTGACGTATTTACATGATGCTAGAGACAGACTGGACACCCACTGCTGGTCTCCACTTAGCTCATTCCTATCTCCCTCACCCTCCCTCCGTTCCTCCCTCCTTCACTCTCTCTCTCACTCCCTTCCTCCCTCCTTCACTCTCTCTCTCACTCCCTTCCCCCCTCCTTCACTCTCTCTCCACTCCCTTCCCCTCTCCTTCACCTTTTTCTCTCCTCCCCTCCCTCCCTCCCCCCCTTTACTCCCCTCCTCACTCCCTTCCTCCCTCCCTTTTCACTCCTTCTACTCCCTTCCTCTCCCTTCCCTCTCCTCCCCTTCCTCCCCCTCTCCTCCCCCCTTCCCTCCCTCCTTCCCTCTCTCTCACTCCCTTCCTCCCCCCTTCACTCTCTCTCTCACTCCCTTTCCCTTCCCTTTCCCTCCCCCCCTCTCCCCTCTCCCCTCCCTTTCCCCTCCTTCACTCTCTCTTCCTCCTTCTCCCCTCCTTCACTCTCTCTCTCACCATTTTCCCCTTCCCTCCCCTCCTCCTCACTCCCTTCCCCCTCCTTCACCCCCCTCTCCCTGCCTTTCTCTCCCCTTCCTCCCTCTCCCCCTCCTCTCTCCTCACTCTCTCTCTCACTCCCTTTTCTCTCTCCTTCACTCTCTCTCCCCACTCCCTTCCTCCCTCCTCACTCTCTCTCCACTCCCTTCCTCCCCTCCTTCACTCTCTCTCCCCATCCCTTCCTCTCTCCTTCACTCTCTCTCTCACTCCTTCCTCTCTCCTTACTTTCTCTCTCACTCCCTTCTCTCTCCTTCACTCTCTCCTCCCTTCCCCCCTCCTTAAACTCTCTCACTCCCCCCTCCTCCTTCACTCTCTCTCCCCACTCCCCTTCCTCCCTCTTCACTCTCTCTCTCACTCCCTTCCTCCCTCCTTCACTCTCTCTCTCACTCCCTTCCTCCCTCCTTCACTCTCTCTCTCACTCCCTTCCTCCCTCCTTCACTCTCCACTCCTTCCCCCCTTTCCTTCACTCATCTCACTCCCTTCCTCTCTCCCGTCACTCTCTCTCTCACTCCCTTCCTCTCTCCTTCACTCTCTCTCTCACTCCCTTCCTCTCTCCTTCACTCTCTCTCTCACTCCCTTCCTCTCTCCTTCACTCTCTCTCTCATCTCCCTCCCTATCTCCTTCCTCACCACTCTCTCACTCTTCCTCCTCCTTCACTTTCTCTCTCACTCCCTTCCTCTCTCCTTCACTCTCTCTCTCACTCCCTTCCTCTCTCCTTCACTCTCTCTCTCACTCCCTTCCTCCCTCCTTCACTCTCTCTCTCACTCCCTTCCTCTTCTCCTTCACTCTCTCTCCTCTTCCCCCTTCCCCCTCCTTCACTCTCTCACTCCCTCCTCTATCCTTAAACTCTCTCTCTCACTCACTTCCTTTCCCTCCTTCACTCTCTCTCTCACCCCCCTTCCTCTCCCTTCACTCTCTCTCTCACTCCCTTCCTCCCTCCTTCACTCTCTCTCTCACTCCCTTCCTCTCTCCTTCACTCTCTCTCTCACTCCCTTCTATAAGCCTTGCAAGATATAATATAATTAGTTTAAACCCATCTTTATTATTCTCTTTTATCTCTCGTCTGTCTGTGTTGAAAGTTACTGATGTCTTCCTGGTCAGTCTTACCTCAGACTTTTACCTCAGACTTCGCTAGGTCGTTCATAACAGACTTAATTCCTTTCCACGATGAGGCCTGATCTCAGACAGGGCCGTGGGGGCGTCGACCCCCCGAAACCCTTTCCAGGTATACTCCAGGTATACTCCAGGTATACTCCAGGTATACTCCAGGTATACTCCAGGTATACTCCAGGTATACTCCAGGTATACTCCAGGTATATTCGTATTGCATTCATGAGTTTCCTTTCTTGACAGGTGTTGGGCGTGTCAGGAGAGTGTGGTGAAGGTACTGGTGATAGTGATGGTGACGACAGTGAGTGTCCCTCTGGATATGGTCAGTGTCTATATTTCTGCCCCATTTTGATGTTAATTTCTGTTATATATGTTTCTTTATTAACAGGAAAGAGAATATTTAACACAAATTCTCTCTCTCTTTCTTTAAGATAAGATTTTGTTGGGATTTCTAATTCCGGACGGTTAGCCACTCGGGATAACCAAAGAAAGCAGTGCGTCATCGAGGACTGTCTAACTTATTTCCATTGTGGTCCTCAATCTTGTCTCCCAGGATGCCACCCACACCAGTCCACTAACATACCGGTACCTAATTGCTTGCTAGGTGAACATGGGCAACAAGTGTCAGGAAACACGCCCAATGTTCCCACCCATGCCGGGGATCGAACCATGGACACTCATTGTGTGAAGTGAGAGCGTTGTCTACCAGGCTACTGGCCTACCGGGCCTGGTAGGTAAGTGGCCTAAACATGGACAAAATACAATGTTAACCTTACTGATGTTTGGTACATCGTGGCTCTGTATCAGTATCTCTTCAGCTCACAACCGAAGAACCTGAGTTCGATCCTGGGAAGGGTGGAGATGACTGGCATGTTTCCTTACGCTTGCTGTCCCTGTTCACCTACCAGTAAATAGGTACCTGGGTGCTAATAGACTGTGTGGGTCGCATCCTGGGGACTAAATTACAAAGGACACCAGTGGAAATAAGACAGACAGTTCCCACTGGGTTACTAACCTCCCGGGTTAATAATCCATTTTTTTTATCTAACTTAACCATTAATAAGATATAAAGTAGTTTACCAATTAATTGACGTCTAGTGAACGTTTTCTATGAAGTCAGCCGAAAAGAAAACAGGAACTGAAAAAATCTAAGTAATCGCTAACTATTGTAACTTGTTAGTCACACCTAGCACTGACATCTGTCTCTTAGACCAAGTATATTGATTGGCTGGCCACAACATCAGCTTAGCCAGCTTAAGTAAGCTTGCTGAGATGTACAATTGTACATGCTTAATAACAGCCGAAATTAGTATCTTTCGTTTGTATATAATTAACCAAAATAACGTAAATTGAAGAAACCAAAGACCTTAATGAAAATAAGTCACTTTGACTTTTTTTTTGTGTTATCATGGAGGGTAATCTAGACATATGCTGCTATGTATGATAATTTATGTAACTGTATTTATGTGTATCTGTACCTTAATAAACTTATTTATACCTTAAGAGTACGAACAGACATGGACCATTACTTATTATCAAGCCACAGATGGTCAGGGGATCAGATCCAGCTGTCAGGTGGGACATGGTAAGTGACCTATACCATCTTGGTCCAGAAATAATAAGACAGAGAATAGAGAACTCACCTTGACTTAAGGGGTACGTCAGTTCCCATGTTTTCTAATGTTATTTTTCCTCTATAATCTATCTTGCCTATAATTACTATCACATTTGATTTGTCTGTTTCGTAAGGCGAATCCAGGATCTTTACTTAATTCATGGTATAACTTAACAAATCTTTGATGACAATTGTGTTGTAGAAGTCTGAGATGTGCTCAGACTTCTACAACACAATTGTTTTCTAGGATTGTTTTCTAGGATTGTTTTCTAGGATTGTTTTCTAGGATTGTTTTCTAGGATTGTTTTCCAGGATTATCCAGAAGGTTTCTTACTGGGGGGAAATAAGAAAATGGAGAAGTTGATCAAAGAAGATGGAAGACATTCACGGTTGGCATTCTTCAGCTTCCTGGTAGTCACATTAGTCTTGGTGTCTCCGGCACCACAACACAAACCATCACTACACATGTTGTGTGATACAAGATGGGTGTCTATTAACAGTCCAATTATATATAATAATAATCTTTATTTTTCCATGTACATGATACAACTTATACAGACCATAGCTAACATCAGTGACTTACTACATAGAAAGTCCGTTGTTTTGCAAAGCATTTCGGGGAAATTAGGTTAAGCTTTTAGTCCTCAGGATGCGACCCACACCAGTCAACCAACACCCGGGTACCTACTTGCTGCTAGGCAAACAGGGACAACAGGTGTCTTAAGTAAACACGCCCTAATATTTCCACCCGTACCGGGGATCGAACCAAGGACCTAACTGTGTGAGCTAAGTGCGCTACTAATCGAGTTACGGGATGCCTGGCAGTGTAAACAAAAGCTTCGTGTGGTGCTGGTGCAGTGTTGTCTGTCCTCTTGTCTACTTCTGTCCACACGGTCGCTCAGGAAATTTTGCCCCCCCCCCAAAAAAAAAAACACCCCTTTTATGCATTATGTGACTGTCATATGAAAAGTCTCACAGCATAATAAATGAATTTGGAGTCTTTGTCATCTAAAATATTTGCTGAAGAGGGTCCCAGAAGGGGATCGAAATATACAGATTAATCAATATTTTGAGTTTCTGTCGTAAGAAGGTTATAAGAACATAAGAATTATTGAGTATTAAAAAGTGTTTATTGTACTTCAGTTATTCATGATTCATTAACTAATTTCTTAGCTTTTAATTACGAGACACCGATTAATCTTGTGTTCCCAAATAATTCAACTCTACCGTGATGTGCTGACTGTATTCCTGTTGTCCTGTTCACCTAGCAGCAAATAGGTACCTGGGTGTTAGTCGACTGGTGTGGGTCGCATCCTGGGGGACAAGATTAAGGACCCCAATGGAAATAAGTTAGACAGTCCTCGATGACGCACTGACTTTCTTGGGTTATCCTGGGTGGCTAACCCTCCGGGGTTAAAAATCCGAACGAAATCTTATCTTATCTTATCTTCCTGTGTGATGTACAATAGTGGGATGCACTGATTGTGCACCTGTTGTCTCCTCTACATAATGTACAACAGCTTAGTGTACTAATTGTACACGTGTTGTCTCCTGTACGTGATGTACAACAACGGTATGTACTGACTGTACACCAGTTAAGATAAGATAAGATTTCGTTCGGATTTTTAACCCCGGAGGGTTAGCCACCCAGGATAACCCAAGAAAGTCAGTGCGTCATCGAGGACTGTCTAACTTATTTCCATTGTGGTCCTTAATCTTGTCCCCCAGGATGCGACCCACACCAGTCGACTAACACCCAGGTACCTATTTGCTGCTAGGTGAACAGGACAACAGGTGTAAGGAAACGTGTCGGAATGTTTCCACCCGCCGGGAATCGAACCCGGGCCCTCCGTGTGTGAAGCGGGAGCTTTACCCACCAGGCTAAGTAAGGAGGTTTCCTGGTCTCGCTGTTATCAGCAAAATAAGCCCGAGCGTCAATAAATCCCTTCGTCTGACTCTTCTTTAGGGTTATAAGTAACTGAGACTTATGTTACTATGTATGATAAGTGTAGTCTGGTAAAACTTGTGTGTCTGTACTTATGTGTAGCTGTATTAACTTTATTCTGTCGATTCTGGATAAGGAAGGCAAGATGTGGGGAACACACAGCCATGTTGATGTGATGATGTGGAGTGGTGGCTGCTATGAGGTTATCTGATGCTAAATGCTGAATTGTTACTCACATATTTATACATAATTATGGGCCCTGGAGACAAATGGTTTTTAGGATTTGACGTGCTGTTGGAGTGGGAGCAAAGTAACATTTATGAAGGGGTTCAGGGAAACCGGCAGGCCGGACTTGAGTCCTGGAGATGGGAAGTACAGTGCCTGCACTCTGAAGGAGGGTGTTAATGTTGCAGTTTTATAACTGTAGTGTAGGCGCCTCTGGCAAGACAGTGATGGAGTGAATGATGGTGAAAGTTTGTTTTTTTCGGGCCACCCTGCCACACCATGGTGGGAAGCTGCCGATGTGTTAATAAATAAAAAATATAGGCCCTGATATTAGGTCACGCCAATTCTCCATCCTCCTCAACCTCCCTGGACATGAAATTGATGGTACTTTTTGCAACTAGACCGGGTAATGTTATGTTCCACATTAGGACGTAATCAGAATGCATTATTCCTTAATCTGGAGATTGATTTATTTTCCCAAGTCGAGTGATATAATGGTTGACCGGATGGAATTCCTTGGTGGGCCGGATATGGCCCATGGGACGTGTTGTGACTTACACCACCATCACATAAATATTGTAGTGTGATGTTTACGTGGCTGAATTCATTGTAGGTGTGAGAATGATAATGATGAAAAATGTCATTATTAAGAAGGACAGCAGCAGCAACAACAACAACAACAACAACAACAACAACAACAACAACAACAACAAACAAGGCTTTAATGGGATTACTAACCCTTGTGGGTTAGTAAGCCGGGATAGTTCATAAAAGCCAAGCCGTGTAGCTTATTCCTACTGGGGGTTCTTTGATCCCCTTCCTCAGGATGCTACCCCTACCTGTTGGCTGGGATCTAGCCCCGGATCCTTCGTTTGTGAGCTGCAGGTGCTACCATCATTGGTGGTGGTGGTGGTGATGGTAGTGGTAGTGGGGTCGAAAGGAGGGGGTGGTGGTGGTAGTGGGGGTGTGACCACCACCACTGATGACTGTACCACACGTGTGTGTGGTGTGTGGTGGATGGTGGGGTGGGTTGGAAGGTGGGGAAGGTGGAGTGGGTGGGGAAGGAGGGGGTGGGGACCCTTTGAATAAATCACCCTAACTCTACCCACGACACCTACTCATCACCCCCACTAACGCCCACCAGAATTCCACACCCCCTCACCACCATCATTACCCCCACTGTTCATAGTGAACGACTGTGACATCTATCACGTGTTGCAGTGTGGCTGTTGATGTGAACTACTGATGAACTGTTTACAAGGGTTCTAAAGGAATGTAAAGAGGAACTTAGCAAACCTTTGGCTAATCTTTTCAACATATCACTACAAACTGGCATGGTGCCAGATAAGTGGAAAATGGCAAATGCAATACCTATTTACAAACCAGGAGACAGGTCCTTAGCTTCAAACTATAGACCAATAAACCTTACCTCCAGAGTGGGAAAATTTATGGAATCAATAACTGAGGAGGCAATTCGTAGCCATCTTGAAAGGCATAAATTGATTAATGAATCTCAACACGGTTTTACAAAGGGGCGTTCCTGTCTCACGAATTTACTAACTTTTTTGCCAAGGTATTTGAGGAGGTAGATCATGGTAATGAATATGATATTGTGTATATGGACTTCAGTAAGGCTTTTGATAAGAGTCTCACATCAGAGGCTATTGAGGAAAATTAAGGCATATAAAAGGACCCCAGTGAAAATAAGTCACTTTGTCTGACTTTTTTGGGTTATCCCAGGTTCTCTACACATATGCTGCTATGTACGACAATATATTTAACTGTACTTGTGTATACCTGAATAAACTTACACACGTAATAGGAGAAGAAATTTTATCCTGGGCAGAGGCGTGGTTGACAGATAGGCGGCAAAGAGTTGACATCAATGGGGAGAAATCAGAGTAGGGGCGCGTCACGAGTGGTGTTCCACAGGGGTCAGTGTTGGGCCCTTTTTTGTTCACAATTTATATAAACGACTTTAATGAGAGAATAAATAGCGACATCAGCAAGTTTGCTGATGACACCAAAATAGGTCGCCTAATTCATTCTAATGAGGACATTAGAGCACTCCAGGAAGATTTATATAGACTGATGCAGTGGTCGGAGAGGTGGCAGATGCAGTTTAATATAGACAAATGCAAAGTTCTAAATGTTGGACAAGAAAATAACCATGCCACATATAAACTAAATAATGTAGATCTTAATATTACTGATTGCGAAAAGGATTTAGGAGTTCTGGTTAGCAGTAATCTGAAACCAAGACAACAGTGCATTAGTGTTCGCAATAAAGTGAACAGAATCCTTGGCATCATATCAAGAAGCAAAAATAATAGGAGTCCTTAGGTTGTTCTTCAACTCTATTTGTCTGGATTTTGAACCCTACTGGCTCAAAATCCAGACAAATCTTATCTTATCTAATACCTGCTATTTATTTTCGCAACACTAACAACCTTCCTCCCCACACAGGGACGGTGGTGCGAGTCCGCAGGAAGGCAGCGGACTTGACGCTGTTGTGGCCGGATGCTGTGGTCCCTTATACCTTCCTGGCCCGTCAGTATAGCAATAGTGGTGATACTAGTAGTAGTAGTAGTCGTGGTAGTAGTAGTAGTAGTGCTAGTAGCAGTAGTAGTATTACTAGTAATATTTTTATAATAATAATAATAATAATAATAATAATAATAATAACAATAATAATAATATAATAATAATAATAATAATAATAATAATAATAATAATAATAATAATAATAATGATAATAATATTTATTAACAATATGATGCGAATAGTAAGACGTTGTTTTGAAAGCATCCTACCTTCCCCAGTTCTGCTAGGAGCCTCCTGCAGGAAGTCTAGCTTCCTCAGTTCTGCTAGGAGCCTCCTGCAGGAAGTCTAGCTTCCCCAGTTCTGCTAGGAGCCTCCTGCAGGAAGTCTAGCTTCCCCAGTTCTGCTAGGAGCCTCCTACAGGAAGTCTAGCTTCCTCAGTTCTGCTAGGAGCCTCCTGCAGGAAGTCTAGCTTCCCCAGTTCTGCTAGGAGCCTCCTGCAGGAAGTCTAGCTTCCCCGGTTCTGCAAGGAGCCTCCTGCAGGAAGTCTAGCTCCCCAGTTCTGCTAGGAGCCTCCTGCAGGAAGTCTAGCTTCCCCAGTTCTGCTAGGAGCCTCCTGCAGGAAGTCTAGCTTCCCCAGTTCTGCTAGGAGCCTCTTGCAGGAAGTCTAGCTTCCCCAGTTCTGCTAGGAGCCTCCTGCAGGAAGTCTAGCTTCCCCAGTTCTGCTAGGAGCCTCCTGCAGGAAGTCTAGCTTCCCCAGTTCTACTAGGAGCCTCCTGCAGGAAGTCTAGCTTCCCCAGTTCTGCTAGGAGCCTCCTGCAGGAAGTCTAGCTTCCCCAGTTCTGCTAGGAGCCTCCTGCAGGAAGTCTAGCTTCCCCAGTCTGCTAGAGCCTCCTGCAGAAAGTCTAGCTTCCCCAGTTTCTGCTAGGAGCCTCCTGCAGGAAGTCTAGCTTCCCGAGTTCTGCTAGGAGCCTCCTGCAGGAAGTCTAGCTTCCCCAGTTTCTGCTAGGAGCCTCCTGCAGGAAGTCTAGCTTCCCCAGTTCTGCTAGGAGCCTCCTGCAGGAAGTCTAAGCTTCCCCCAGTTCTACTAGAGCCTCCTGCAGGAAGTCTAGCTTCCCCAGTTCTGCTAGGAGCCTCCTGCAGGAAGTCTAGCATTCCTCAGTTCTGCTAGGAGCCTCCTGCAGGAAGTCTAGCTTCCCCAGTTCTGCTAGGAGCCTCCTGCAGGAAGTCTAGCTTCCCCAGTTCTGCTAGGAGCCTCCTGCAGGAAGTCTAGCTTCCCCAGTTCTGCTAGGAGACCTCCTGCAGGAAGTCTAGCTCCCCAGTTCTGCTAGGAGCCTCCTGCAGGAAGTCTAGCTTCCCAGTTCTGCTAGAGCCTCCTGCAGGAAGTCTTAGCTTCCCCAGTTCTGCTAGGAGCCTCCTGCAGGAAGTCTAGCTTCCCCAGTTCTGCTAGGAGCCTCCTGCAGGAAGTCTAGCTTCCCCAGTTCTGCTAGGAGCCTCCTGCAGGAAGTCTAGCTTCCCCAGTTCTGCTAGGAGCCTCCTGCAGGAAGTCTAGCTTCCCCAGTTCTGCTAAGATCCTCTTGCAGGAAGTTTAGCTTCCCCAGTTCTGCTAGGATCCTCTTGCAGGAAGTCTAGCTTCCCTAGCTGTGCTAGGATCCCTGCGACGTAGCCTAGCCCGTGTTGTTGTGTCCCCGCAGCTGAGCCTGAGAGAGGGGTCGTGTTGAAGGGTGTACAACACTGGGAGCAACACACCTGCCTCAGGTTTCTTCCGTCAACGACACACAACTTGCCACACCTGCAGTTCCGCAAGCTGGCCGGATGCCGCAGTGGGGTCGGCATCGAGGCCGCCAGTGGCCAGAACATCTCCATCGGCGACAACTGTAATAAGGTAGAAAGTGAGAGAGAATGAGAGAGAGAGAGAGAGAATGAGAGAGAGAGAGAGAGAATGAGAGAGAGAGAGAGAGAGAATGAGAGAGAGAGAGAATGAAGAGAGAGAGAATGAGAGAGAAAGAGAGAGAGAGAGAGAGAGAGAGAGAGAGAGAGAAGAGAGAGAGAGAGAGAGAGAGAGAGAGAGAGAGAGAGAGAGAGAGAGAGAGAGAGAGAGAGAGATTTTGAGACATATGCATAGTTCCTTTGTATAAAGGCAAAGGGGACAAAAGAGAGTGCAAAAATTATAGGGGGATAAGTCTGTTGAGTATACCTGATAAAGTGTATGGTAGAGTTATTATTGAAAGAATTAAGAGTAAGATGGAGAATAGGATAGCAGATGAACAAGGAGGCTTTAGGAAAGGTAGGGGTGTGTGGACCAGTGTTTACAGTGAAACATATAAGTGAACAGTATTTAGATAAGGCTAAAGAGGTCTTTGTGGCATTTATGGATTTGGAAAAGGCGTATGACAGGTGGATAGGGGGGCAATGTGGCAGATGTTGCAGGTGTATGGCATAGGAGTAGGTTACTGAAAGCAGTGAAGAGTTTTTAACGAGGATAGTGAGGCTCAAGTTAGAGTATGTAGGAAAGAGGGAAATTATTTCCCAGTAAAAGTAGGCCTTAGACAAGGATGTGTGAGGTTACCGTGGTTGTTTAATATATTTATAGATGGGGTTGTAAGAGAAGTAAATGCGAGGGTCTTGGCAAGAGGCGTGGAGTTAAAAGATAAAGAATCACACATAAAGTGGGAGTTGTCACAGTTGCTCTTTGCTGATGACACTGTGCTCTTGGGAGATTCTGAAGAGAAGTTGCAGAGGTTGGTGGATGAATTTGGTAGGGTATGCAAAAGAAGAAAATTAAAAGTGAATACAGGAAAGAGTAAGGTTATGAGGATAACAAAAAGATTAGGTCAGTGGTTCCCAAACTTTTTCAGCTTGTTACCCAATTTAACATGCCACATAAAGCATGTTACCCCTTTCACAAAATGTTGTTATTATTGATATATATGGCTAAACGTGAACGTATACAGCCTCGCATACTCTGCTAATCTTAGCAAAACCATTGAGAACGTAAGAACCACACATACATTATATATAAAATTAATAATAGCTACAAATTCACAGTAACAGTGGGTAAATACTAACTATATAGTGCACAGGGCAGTACACATACATACCAGCTTATGTCTACCTCGGCTGATGCTCACAGATAAACTAACAGTGTGAAATAGAGGCAGCCTCAGGAAGTGAGTGACGCGTACTGGACAGGTCGATCTGGCTACTGAGTGACTTTTGTCCTGAAGCATACTTGTCAAAATACTTTTGGGTTTCACACACTTAGCTATATATTTCTTCTTTTCTAATACTGTATATTAGTTTTTGATGTTTATTGTTATTTGGTTTAAATTTATTACTTACTTATAATAGGTTTACTTTACAACTTTATATACTAAGACAAAGTTAACAATAATCCTCATACCGGGTACCGCATTGTTTTCTGGATTTTCAGAATTCATAACTTTTTTTCTGTCACCCCTCCATTACTCCCCAAAAATGGTTAAATTACCCCCAGGGGGTAATTTACCCCCAGTTTGGGAACCACTGGATTAGGTGATGAAAGATTGGATATCAGATTGGAGGGAGAGAGTATGGAGAAGGTGAATGTATTCAGATATTTGGGAGTGGACGTGTCAGCGGATGGGTCTATGAAAGATGAGGTGAATCATAGAATTGATGAGGGGAAAAAGATGAGTGGTGCACTTAGGAGTCTGTGGAGACAAAGAACTTTGTCCTTGGAGGCAAAGAGGGGAATGTATGAGAGTATAGTTTTACCAACGCTCTTATATGGGTGTGAAGCATGGTGATGAATGTTGCAGCGAGGAGAAGGCTGGAGGCAGTGGAGATTGTCTGTCTGAGGGCAATGTGTGGTGTGAATATATTGCAGAGAATTCGTAGTTTAAAAGTTAGGAGGAGGTGCGGGATTACCAAAACTGTTGCCCAGAGGGCTGAGGAAGGGTTGTTGAGGTGGTTCGGACATGTAGAGAGAATGGAGCGAAACAGAATGACTTCAAGAGTGTATCAGTCTGTAGTCGAGGAAAGGCGGGTAGGGGTCGGCCTAGGAAGGTTGGAGGGAGGGGGTAAAGGAGGTTTTGTGTGCGAGGGGCTTGGACTTCCAGCAGGAATGCGTGAGCGTGTTTGATAGGAGTGAATGGAGACAAATGGTTTTTAATACTTGACTTGCTGTTGGAGTGTGAGCAAAGTAACATTTATGAAGTGGTTCAGGGAAACCGGCAGGCCGAACTTGAGTCCTGGAGATGGGAAGTACAGTGCCTGCACTCTGAAGGAGGGGTGTTAATGTTGCAGTTTAAAAACTGTAGTGTAAAGCACCCTTCTGGCAAGACAGTGATGGAGTGAATGATGGTGAAAGTTTTTCTTTTTCGGGCCACCCTGCCTTGGTGGGAATCGGCCAGTGTGATAATAAAAAAAATAAAAAAAAATATGTGGTGACTTTTGTGTGTGTCTTATGTGATTCGTATGTGACAATTGTATTTCTCCTGTGTTTGACGTGACCCTGTGTTCTTGCCCAGGTGGGCATCGTGGTTCACGAGATTGGGCATGCCATTGGTTTCTACCACGAGATACGTCGTCCTGACCGGGACGACCACGTGGTCGTTAACGAGAACAACATCCTCAAGAACGAACTCTTCAACTTCTACAAGCTTCACTGGCTCGATGTCTCCATCAAGTACGACCTGTCCTCCGTCATGCACTACCACACACTGGTGAGTCTCCATCAAGTACGACCTGTCCTCCGTCATGCACTACACACACTGGTGAGTCTCCATCAAGTACGACCTGTTCTCCGTCATGCACTACCACACACTGGTGAGTCTCCATCAAGTACGACCTGTCCTCCGTCATGCACTACCACACACTGGTGAGTCTCCATCAAGTACGACCTGTCCTCCGTCATGCACTACCACACACTGGTGAGTCTCCATCAAGTAACGACCTGTCCTCCGTCATGCACTACACACACTGGTGAGTCTCCATCAAGTACGACCTGTCCTCCGTCATGCACTACCACACACTGGTGAGTCTCCATCAAGTACGACCTGTCCTCCGTCATGCACTACCACACACTGGTGAGTCTCCATCAAGTACGACCTGTCCTCCGTCATGCACTACCACACACTGGTGAGTCTCCATCAAGTACGACCTGTCCTCCGTCATGCACTACCACACACTGGTGAGTCTCCATCAAGTACGACCTGTCCTCCGTCATGCACTACCACACACTGGTGAGTCTCCATCAAGTACGACCTGTCCTCCGTCATGCACTACCACACACTGGTGAGTCTCCATCAAGTACGACCTGTCCTCCGTCATGCACTACCACACACTGGTGAGTCTCCATCAAGTACGACCTGTCCTCCGTCATGCACTACCACACACTGGTGAGTCTCCATCAAGTACGACCTGTCCTCCGTCATGCACTACCACACACTGGTGAGTCTCCATCAAGTACGACCTGTCCTCCGTCATGCACTACCACACACTGGTGAGTCTCCATCAAGTAGACCTGTCCTCCGTCATGCACTACCACACACTGGTGAGTCTCCATCAAGTACGACCTGTCCTCCGTCATGCACTCACCACACACTGGTGAGTCTCCATCAAGTACGACCTGTCCTCCGTCATGCACTACCACACACTGGTGAGTCCTCCATCAAGTACGACCTGTCCTCCGTCATGCACTACCACACACTGGTGAGTCTCCATCAAGTACGACCTGTCCTCCGTCATGCACTACCACACACTGGTGAGTCTCCATCAAGTACGACCTGTCCTCCGTCATGCACTACCACACACTGGTGAGTCTCCATCAAGTACGACCTGTCCTCCGTCATGCACTACCACACACTGGTGAGTCTCCATCAAGTACGACCTGTCCTCCGTCATGCACTACCACACACTGGTGAGTCTCCATCAAGTACGACCTGTCCTCCGTCATGCACTACCACACATTGGTGAGTCTCCTCAAGTACGACCTGTTCCCTGACTGGATCAATACCCAAATTACCCACACAGGAGAGATGAGGTTACCACGACGTGTCAGTTGGACTTGGACCATTTACAAAGTCACAGTAACTTTGTAAATGGTCCGAGTCGGACCGGAACTTCGTCGTAAGCTCCTTCTATGTGCGGGATATATGTATATAGACTGCTAACTACTGTGATTGCAGGAGTGGACTGCTAACGAGCGGACGACGGTGGCTACGCGCGACCCGACGTTGCAAGGACTGATAGGACTGTGGAAGCAGGAGTCGAGCCGAGGTCTTCCCCACAGAGACAAACTCCTGGCCAACACAGTCTATGGCTGCCTTGGTCAGTACCTCCCTCACTCTACACCCTCTTGTATTGAACAAATCAACAAATTTATAAATAAAAGCCTAGATTTTTCCCTAGCTTGTCCTTAGACGTGGCCAACCTTGTCCTTAGACGTGGCTAAGCTTGTCCTTAGACGTGGCTAAGCTTGCCCCTAAGCTTTCATATCGTCTTGTTCACACACAAATATTAATGTATATAATAAAATATATTGAAAATCTTAATATTTTACATATGAGAGAATTTGTTGTTTCGCTATATTTTATGGCCACCGTCTTCTGGCCACTGTCTTCTGGCCACCGTCTTCTGGCCACTGCCTTCTGGCCACTGTCTTCTGGCCACTGGCTTCTGGCCACTGGCTTCTGGCCACTGGCTTCTGGCCACTGGCTTCTGGCCACCGTCTTCTGGCCACTGTCTTCTGGCCACTGTCTTCTGGCCACTGTCTTCTGGCCACCGTCTTCTGGCCACTGTCTTCTGGCCACCGTCTTCTGGCCACTGCCTTCTGGCCACTGTCTTCTGGCCACTGGCTTCTGGCCACTGGCTTCTGGCCACTGGCTTCTGGCCACTGGCTTCTGGCCACCGTCTTCTGGCCACTGTCTTCTGGCCACTGTCTTCTGGCCACTGTCTTCTGGCCACCGTCTTCTGGCCACTGTCTTCTGGCCACTGTCTTCTGGCCACCGCCTTCTGGCCACTGTCTTCTGGCCACTGTCTTCTGGCCACTGCCTTCTGGCCACTGTTTTCTCACCACTGCCTTCTGGCCACCGTCTTCTGGCCACTGTCTTCTGGCCACTGTCTTCTGGCCACTGCCTTCTGGCCACTGTCTTCTGGCCACTGCCTTCTGGCCACTGTCTTCTGGCCACTGCCTTCTGGCCACTGTCTTCTGGCCACCGTCTTCTGGCCACTGTCTTCTGCCACTGTCTTCTGGCCACTGCCTTCTGGCCACTGTCTTCTGGCCACTGCCTTCTGGCCACTGTCTTCTGGCCACTGCCTTCTGGCCACTGTCTTCTGGCCACTGTCTTCTGGCCACTGCCTTCTGGCCACTGTCTTCTGCCACTGGCTTCTGGCCACTGTCTTCTGGCCACTGTCTTCTGGCCACTGTCTTCTGGCCACTGTCTTCTGGCCACTGTCTTCTGGCCACTGGCTTCTGGCCACTGTCTTCTGGCCACTGTCTTCTGGCCACTGTCTTCTGGCCACTGCCTTCTGGCCACTGTCTTCTGGCCACTGGCTTCTGGCCACTGGCTTCTGGCCACTGGCTTCTGGCCACTGGCTTCTGGCCACCATCTTCTGGCCACTGTCTTCTGGCCACTGTCTTCTGGCCACTGTCTTCTGGCCACCGTCTTCTGGCCACTGTCTTCTGGCCACTGTCTTCTGGCCACCGTCTTCTGGCCACTGTCTTCTGGCCACTGTCTTCTGGCCACTGCCTTCTGGCCACTGTTTTCTCACCACTGCCTTCTGGCCACCGTCTTCTGGCCACTGTCTTCTGGCCACTGTCTTCTGGCCACTGCCTTCTGGCCACTGTCTTCTGGCCACTGCCTTCTGGCCACTGTCTTCTGGCCACTGTCTTCTGGCCACTGTCTTCTGGCCACTGCCTTCTGGCCACTGTCTTCTGGCCACTGGCTTCTGGCCACTGGCTTCTGGCCACTGGCTTCTGGCCACCATCTTCTGGCCACTGGCTTCTGGCCACTGGCTTCTGGCCACCATCTTCTGGCCACTGTCTTCTGGCCACTGTCTTCTGGCCACTGTCTTCTGGCCACCGTCTTCTGGCCACTGTCTTCTGGCCACTGTCTTCTGGCCACTGCCTTCTGGCCACTGTTTTCTCACCACTGCCTTCTGGCCACCGTCTTCTGGCCACTGTCTTCTGGCCACTGTCTTCTGGCCACTGCCTTCTGGCCACTGTCTTCTGGCCACTGCCTTCTGGCCACTGTCTTCTGGCCACTGCCTTCTGGCCACTGTCTTCTGGCCACCGTCTTCTGGCCACTGTCTTCTGGCCACTGTCTTCTGGCCACTGTCTTCTGGCCACTGCCTTCTGGCCACTGTCTTCTGGCCACTGTCTTCTGGCCACCGTCTTCTGGCCACTGTCTTCTGGCCACTGTCTTCTGGCCACTGTCTTCTGGCCACTGCCTTCTGGCCACTGTCTTCTGGCCACTGTCTTCTGGCCACTGTCTTCTGGCCACCGCCTTCTGGCCACTGTCTTCTGGCCACTGTCTTCTGGCCACTGCCTTCTGGCCACTGTTTTCTCACCACTGCCTTCTGGCCACCGTCTTCTGGCCACTGTCTTCTGGCCACTGTCTTCTGGCCACTGCCTTCTGGCCACTGTCTTCTGGCCACTGACTTCTGGCCACTGTCTTCTGGCCACTGCCTTCTGGCCACTGTCTTCTGGCCACCGTCTTCTGGCCACTGTCTTCTGGCCACTGTCTTCTGGCCACTGCCTTCTGGCCACTGTCTTCTGGCCACTGCCTTCTGGCCACTGTCTTCTGGCCACTGCCTTCTGGCCACTGTCTTCTGGCCACTGTCTTCTGGCCACTGCCTTCTGGCCACTGTCTTCTGGCCACTGGCTTCTGGCCACTGTCTTCTGGCCACTGTCTTCTGGCCACTGTCTTCTGGCCACTGTCTTCTGGCCACTGTCTTCTGGCCACTGGCTTCTGGCCACTGTCTTCTGGCCACTGTCTTCTGGCCACTGGCTTCTGGCCACTGTCTTCTGGCCACTGTCTTCTGGCCACTGTCTTCTGGCCACTGTCTTCTGGCCACTGTTTTCTGGCCAGTGGCTTCTGGCCACTGTCTTATGGCCACTGTCTTCTGGCCACTGTCTTCTGGCCACTGGCTTCTGGCCACTGTCTTCTGGCCACTGTCTTCTGGCCACTGTCTTCTGGCCACTGTCTTCTGACCACTGTCTTCTGGCCACTGTCTTCTGGCCACTGGCTTCTGGCCACTGTCTTCTGGCCACTGTCTTCTGGCCACTGTCTTCTGGCCACTGTCTTCTGGCCACTGTCTTCTGGCCACTGGCTTCTGGCCACTGTCTTATGGCCACTGTCTTCTGGCCACTGTCTTCTGGCCACTGGCTTCTGGCCACTGTCTTCTGGCCACTGTCTTCTGGCCACTGTCTTCTGGCCACTGTCTTCTGACCACTGTCTTCTGGTCACTGTCTTCTGGCCACTGGCTTCTGGCCACTGTCTTCTGGCCACTGGCTTCTGGCCACTGGCTTCTGGCCACTGGCTTCTGGCCACTGCCTTCTGGCCACTGCCTTCTGGCCACTGTCTCCTGGCCACTGCCTTCTGGCCACTGCCTTCTGGCCACTGTCTTCTGGCCACTGCCTTCTGGCCACTGTCTTCTGACCACTGCCTTCTGGCCACTGTCTTCTGGCCACTGTCTTCTGGCCACTGTCTTCTGGCCACTGTCTTCTGGCCACTGTCTTCTGGCCACTGTCTTCTGGCCACTGGCTTCTGGCCACTGGCTTCTTGCCACTGGCTTCTGGCCACTGACTTCTGGCCACTGGCTTCTGGCCAATGTCTTCTGGCCACTGCCTTCTGGCTACTGTCTTCTGGCCACTGTCTTTTGGCTACTGCCTTCTGGTCACTGTCTTTTGGCTACTGCCTTCTGGTCACTGCCTTCTGGGCACTGTCTTCTAGTCACTGTCTTCTGGCCACTGGCTTCTGGCCACTGGCTTCTGGCCACTGGCTTCTGGCCACTGGCTTCTGGCCACCGGCTTCTGGCCACTGGCTTCTGGCCACTGGCTTCTGGCCACTGTCTTCTGGCCACTGCCTTCTGGCCACTGCCTTCTGGCCACTGTCTTCTGGCCACTGCCTTCTGACCACTGTCTTCTGGCCACTGCCTTCTGGCCGCTGTCTTCTGGCCACTGCCTTCTGACCACTGTCTTCTGGCCACTGTCGTCTGGCCACTGGCTTCTGGCCACTGGCTTCTTGCCACTGGCTTCTTGCCACTGGCTTCTGGCCACTGGCTTTTGACCACTGCCTTCTGGCCACTGTCTTCTGGCCACTGTCTTCTGGCCACTGTCTTCTGGCCACTGCCTTCTGGCCACTGTCTTCTGGCCACTGTCTTCTGGCCACTGTCTTCTGGCCAATGGCTTCTGGCCACTGCCTTCTGGCCACTGTCTTCTGGCCACTGTCTTCCCGGCCACTGCCTTATGGGCCACTGTCTTCTGGCCACTGTCTTCTGGCCACTGGCTTCTGGCCACTGTCTTCTGGCCACTGCCTTCTGGCCACTGTCTTCTGGCCACTGGCTTCTGGCCACTGTCTTCTGGCCACTTCTTTGCAATATTCTTCATCTTAAACCAGAACTAAGATGGCAGGAGTAAATGCTTGTCTATATATGTCCCAGATCAGTGGCTGGCCCAGTGTAACCTGAACCGCAACCCGTGTGAGAACGAGGGTTACCTGGACCAGGCGTGTACCTGTGTGTGTCCTCCTGGTACCACCGGACGTACCTGCCAGATCATCACTGGAGGTTATTATGGTACGCTCATCTCAGGGTCAAATCTCAGAGTTATTAATATAATTGTTTAGATTATTGCGGTCGGTAAGATTGCCATAGTAAGTGAAGGTCGTCATGGCAGTGTCGGGTCACAGTGCCAGGTCACTAAATTAGGGCAGGTCACTGTTGTAAGAGAACCCGAGATTTTTCACCTCTCCATAGCTTAGCTGGCCACAGTGATAGTGCAAGTCACCATGATATGTCAGGTCACAGTGAAATATCAGGTCACCATGATATATCAGGTCACCGTGATATTTCAGGCCACAAAATTTCTGATCATAAGGCTGCATTAGACGAGTGAAAAAAAAATTAATTAGTGTTGAATATAACGATACTAAGATACATATATATTATTATTATTATTATTATATTATTATTATTATTATTATTATTATTATTATTATTATTATTATTGTTATTATTATTATTATATTTATTATTATTATATTATTATTATTATTATTATTACTACTATACTACTACTACTACTATCTACTACTACTACTACTACTACTACTACTACTACTACTACTAGTTTCATTGTTGTTGCAGATCACTTGAAGTCACCTTGCAGTCAGGATGTCACCTACCCCACCATCCTTACCTCACCTGATTACCCCAACAACTACGACCCAGGTGAGCCACCTAATTTCCTACAGCACAGAGCACCTTGCTAGTGAGAACTGTTCTCTCGTATTTATCTTAATATACATAGAAGATAGATAGATGGGAAAATAGATGTGTAGTGAGAAGACTGTCTATTAGCTTTCTCTAGGTCTCTCTTTGTGTACCTTAGTTCTCTTTCTCTCTCTGTGTACCTTAGCTTCTCTCTCTCTCTCTCTCTCTCTCTCTCTCTCGTCTCCTCTCTCTCTCTCTCTCTCTCTCTCTCTCTCTCTCTTCTCTCTCTCTCTCCTCTTCTTCTCTCTCTCTCTCTCTCTCTCTTCTCTCTCTCTCTCTCTCTCTCTCTCTCTCTCTCTCTCTCTCTCTCTCTCTCTCTCTCTCTCTCTCTCTCTCTCTCTCTCTCCTCTCTCTCTTTCTCTCCACTGACCAAATTATCTAATACTTTTCCCTAACTGCCCAACCTCTGCGTGACATGCGCGTCCCTGTGTCACCCATGCATCCCTGGGTCTGCTATGCGTCACATGTGCGTCACTCTGGACAGACACATGGTGCGTGTACCGTCTGGAGGCACCAGAGTGCCAGGCACCACAGGTGGAGGTGCTGGACTTCCAGCTGGGTCCTCGGGACATGAGGGACCAGTGCTACCACGACTATCTGGAGATACGGAACGACTCCCTCTACGATGGTTTTCTGTGA